CCTGCGGGACGCCACTCGTCACCGTCACCAACCTCCACCTGGACATTGAGCCGTTGACCACTGCCCTCTGGATGCGACCATCTAACAATTCCTCACCCACCGGACAGTCCACCCATCAAATCCATCCCTCTCCAGGTTAGAGAGAAGGGTGTTGTGGGGGACCGTGTCAAAGGCCTTACAGAGGTCCAGACAGACGACATCTGTAGCCCTTCCCACGTCCACTGATGTGGTCACTCCATCATAGAAGGCCACTAGGTTGGTCAGGCAGGACTTGCCCTCGGGGAAGCCACGCTGGCTGTCTCAAATCACCTCCCTGTGCCTTAGCATAGCTTCCAGGAGGATCTGTTCCATGGAAGCTATATCTCACCAGGGAAGAGGCAGACAAGTCTGAATCCTCCCCGATTCATTCTGCTTTACCTTCTCCAGGTGCACGGTGACTGTTTTACCATCTTCGATCAGCCAGGAGCTCTCCTCCACCTTCACTTCATTGAAAAGCTCTCCATCAACGACAGGCGAATGGCCCTTCAGGCCAACTTTGAGGCGCCGTCTCTGGATATCCACCACCACGTCCTTCCCCTTCAACCTGAAGTTCACCTTGAAAGGGATGGCCAGCTGGACCAGACAAAGGTCAGATTTGAGGAGCTGAGCGGTGAAGCCTCTCCTTACCCTCTTGCGCTGCTATTCTAAGACTTTTTGCCTTGGTTTCACCAGAATAAGACAGAGCAGGCAATATATCCCTTGGGGTACTGAGCGAGCGGGAGGTGAAAGGATACAAGAAGAAGTTTGGCAACAGGATGGCCAACACCTCAAAGGGACCATAAAAAAGGGAGCAGATTTTAATGTCTTGTTTAAACAAGACCGAGGTTTGGCCAAGTTAACCACAGCCTCTGGGCATTTTGTTTAGTTACCAAGCTCCCTCCCAGCTATTGAAATGCTGCTGTTAAGAACAACTAACAACCTTCCACAGGCAGCTGAGGTACAGGGCATCGGCTCCACCATTCTTACCAGTGCTCTTATTCCCTATCCCACATTCCTGAGATCCTGGTAATAAGGCAATACTTACATCCAGTTCTGAAAGAGTCTGTGTCCATCTATAATTTGGAAGGTCAGCTCCATTCCCAGAGTTGGGTTTAAGTTTTCCTTTATCCTTCTCATCTTCCTCTTCGTCATCTGTTTCCTAAGCAACCAATTTAAAGTGTAAAGAAAGAAGCTTTTCAAGTTCCCATTTATCTTTCACTTGTAACAACAGTTCTTGGTTTTTGTAACAATTTCAGGTCAGGTGCACGTACTTGACATTCACAAAAATTTAGCCCAAAATGTATACGTGTTTCTGTTAAAACATAATTACAAAAAAGGAAAGGAAAACAGAACAAAACACAAAAAAAACCCCCACATTGAAATCTTTGGGAATTAAATGTGTATTCTCAGCGTATTCCCTCACATTTACAGGAGTTCTCATGGTTGCCTATTTCTCTCAGACTGAAATAAAGTCCCTAGATGAGCTTTACCTGTTTGTTAGAATCCGAAGATTCACCTTCGTCCTCCGAGGGTTTCACTGGGACACTGTTAATCTGTCCTTGTGCCTCTTTTTTCTGTTGAAAAAGAGAATGAACACGCTCAGACAAGCGCTGGCACTTTAGTGTTACTTGCTGATCTGACGCTAGGCGGCCTCAGCCTCCTCAGCTGAAACTAGAGAGCAGGACTCGGAACTGCACCCGGGAGCGACGGGGAATTTTCAGCCCTTAGAACGGTGTTACAGGAAAAGCGGTACTGCCAAGGGGAAAACTCCCGTGGTCCTCACACCTCGACGACTGTAGCAGAGGATGTTGCCACAATCAGAGAACTTGCTGAAGGCAGAAAGGCCAAGCGAGTTCTGGGAGAATCCACGTGAAAACGCGATGGTTTGGCCTAGGCTAATTTCATTCCGGAGCACGCCGGTCTGGTGCTCCAGACACCGCAAAGGAACCAGCCTTGAGCCGTTTTAACCCCTCACTGCTACCTGAGCTACGTGCAGGCCAACGGAGGAGACGACCTAGATGGTGCCTGCGGGCACCAGGCACTGCTCTCACCTGGTCGATTTCCAGCTGCAGCCTTTCTGCTTCCTCGTCCGTAAGTTCCTTAATCCTTGGCTCGTTCGCTTCTTGCTTTTCTTTAGCAAGTTTCGCAGCTCTCTCTGCCTTTTCACGCCGCTCTGCCTCTTGACGAGCCTTTTTCTCCTTCCGCTCCTTCTGAGCTAGTTTGTTGTGATGGTTGAAGGTATCTGTGATCAGCTGAAAGACGGGAAGACATTATCAAAGGGTTTTAAAAAATCACCACTTTTTCAAACCCAAATGAAGCCAACTCACTACTGAGGAGCATGAGAACATTTGTTAGTCATACCGATGTTGTGACTTTTCCCTTCATTTTCACTCTAGTCTTTTGACCGAAAATCTAGAGCAGGAGAAAACTCAAAATATTTAGATGCAGCCCTTCCTAGTTCTTCCTTGTACAAGGAGTGTATTTCCATGGAGGTAACAGAAAAATAAAGATTCTCCGTTTGTTTTGACCTTTGTGCAAATCCAGCAGGATGAGCAGATGCCCAACCCTCCGTACATCGGGGACAGCTGGGAGAACGGAGACCCTGGACCCGAGTTTTTGTACCTACTTCTGACCTCTCCCGTGACTGGGCTTTTCCCCGGGCGCCAGACGGAGATTCAGTGTCATGCTCTAGAGGAGAAACGTTTGAGAAGCTCGGTGTTTTACCCTTAGGGGCAAGTTCCTCCATAAATCTTCGCTTCAAACCTCACTCCCAATTCTCATGCCATTGTGACTATGAAAAGCAGAATCTCAAGGTCTCTGATGCAAACGGCTGTACTGCTCAGAGGGAAAGCTGAGTACACAGGCAGGAAGCCAGAGCAATTGCCCCGTGGTCAATAACGCCAGCGGCGCTGTGCAGAGCAGCACGTATGAGAACCGAAGTCTGCTCCAGACAACAAACAGAATCTGAGAGAAGGAATCCGAGTGGAGAGACGTCTCAGACAGGGCAGGGGTCAGGTACTGGTTTATATATATCCCAGAAACTTCCGAGGGGATTCAGCATCTTTCCAGAGCAACTCAAAATGTCCTCGCCTTGCAGCTTTGTAACCAACCACCAGGTATTTCTGCTTTGCTTTAAAGGGGAAAGCAAGATTTATTTACACAACGCGAGTCCGGTTGTCTCCTAGGATACAGAATTCAAGACGTGCATCTCCCAGCCTCCGTTCCTAACCGCACGATCATCCACAGTGAGCAAACTATTTCCACTGCCCGAGCTCGTCAGTGCGCGCACACCGCGCTTCTCTCAACCTACCACCACACCCCCCTCACTCTACACCACAAGGGCTTCTCAAACGGCACCCCGTAAAAGACGACGGCCTTCCCACCCTCTCCTCTTTCTCTTTGATGCCAAAGGGCGAGCAGGGCTGGGGAAGCAGCTTCTTCAATTTTTGTTGTGGTTACTGTGGTGTCAGGGACTCTGTATTGAGCCATAAGCATTTTAACAGACACCCCCCCAAGGACACGAGCACTTTTCTTGTCCAGGCACAGACACGGATTTGCTACGGAGTTGCCAACAGCAGTAGCCAGGACCTCCAAAAGCACCAACCAGTGCTCACCTCTGAAACGCTACTCAGGCTTTCGCTCCCTGGGAGCACGCAGTCCCCAGGAATTTGGGGGGATTTGCTCTCTAGTCTAAGAAAAACGGCAGTAGGCTTCACCCTTCTCGCTTTGAAACCATCCTCTTTGCCATCCCCTCGCCTGCCTTAGTTTTGCCGCTTTAGAGACTAGACAGCGTACGTTACACGCTGCGTTAGCGATTAACGTCTGCCCTAACACGTTCGACGTGGCAGCAGCGCCCGCTTGGCTGGTGGAGTTCCAGTAGCCCAGGAAGGGGAACAGCTGCTATACCGCTAAGCACCAACAAGAAACCTCCAGGTCACGGTTGAATGCTCTGGTTCTTACTTCCCTGCAGTGAAACGATTTAAGTTTTTCAGCTCTCGAGCTGGGCGAGGAATACCTGCTGGCTAGGAGATGCTCAGGCTGCCAGCGAGGCCGCCCGGAGCCCCGGGCTTGCTCCCCAGCGCGCTCGCTCCGTACAGGTACCGCAGCCCCGAGACAAAGGTGCAGCCGCATGCGCAGAGATGCGGACTTTGGGCTTTTTCCGAGATGAACAAACAAGGTAACCCGGGGTTATCAACACCGCGGTGTCTGTCACTGTTCAGTCAGGGCGTCTGGCAGATTTGCTTTCCAAACAAGCCTTTGGCCAGAGCGTGGCAGAAAAAAAAAATCCAAACAAACCACCGAACCAACCACCCCGCATCGTCGGTACCACTCGAACAAGCAATCCTGCGTGCCTCGCCTCAGATAGCGGCAGTTCGTCATTGCCTCGTTTCAGTGATGTAGTTCATCAGCATCACGGGCTGCCAGTCCCCACGTGCACCGCAACGCTTTTGAGTTGTTCAGGCGGGGAAGTCTTAGCGTGGCACAGACATGGGTGGCATGGAAGTTAGGAGACATAAAAGCTCGAGGATTTGGGTTGTTTGGGGTTTTTTTTTACCTTCTCTGCTACTCCGTCTTCTCCACCGGTGAAGAAATCTGTTTTACGCCTCAGGAAACTAAAGAACGTGTTCACGAGCTGGTGGAGGAAACAGGGAGGGGGGTGGAGAGAAAAAAAAAAAAGAGCAATGAGACCGGATCACTCCAAACCACCTCACGTCTCTCGAGCGGCCTTTATTCTTCGTGCCCCCTATCTGCGTCTGTGCCGGGATCGTACTCAAATCAGCCCCGCGACCGTTTCCCCGAGAAAATATCCCGTGGTTTTTGTGGAGATCCAGTTCCCGGATTCCCAGTTTTCCGAAGGGAGATTTGTGTGGTTTACGTGAAGAAAGGGCAAGCAGTTTACTCTCAGGTCACCTCGGAGGTACACCTCCTCCGGTACCCCAGGCTGTTCTTTAGATCCATCCGAGGCGGGAATTTGGGTACGTATGTACGTATACGTGGACACATACGCACACAGAGGTGTACACAGACATACGCATATACCGTATTTTACCTCTTAGCACGCCCAAACCCTCCCAGTGTGCAAACTCACCCTCCCCACCCCCACGGCCTGATTATTTTTACCAAAGCCCAAAATCCCTCCCCCTCCCCCCCCCCACGGCCTGTGGATTTTTACCAAAGCCCAAAATCCGTTACGAGCCGGCATCCCCAGCCGGCCCTA